CATAAATTATAAATTCATGTGTCTGTCCGCTTATTGACAATAAAATTAGCCAATGAGCGCGCGAGAATTTCTGCAGTTATCGTAAATTAATCGATAAGGGATCAAGAGGTAAGGGGCGCATTCTATTCAACCAAAATTCCGGAACCATAGAAATGGGGGCAAATAGTACAGAAATGTTCTTGGAAAGATTCCGAAAAATCCGGAAATTGTTTAGTTTATGAAATTCGAAGTATTCAACCTAAAATTCCAGACATTGTGGGATGAAAATGGGACAGAGATTCTTGGATTCTTGAGAGGTTATCCTGTTTTCCGAAAATTTGGCCCAACGGAAAGCGCCCATTTTTTTGGCCCAAAGGTCTAGTGTGATTATTTGGGTTAGTATTAGTCTTTAAAAGAACATCCTGAATTTATGTGCGATGTCCATACGACTAAAAATTCCAGTTTGAGCTTTTGAAAATTTATAGTAGCAAATGGAACAGCACTTTCGGAATTTTCCGGAACAAAAGACGGCCTCTTGAGGTAAACGCAAAATTTTGGACATTTCTTACCGAGAATTTTCTTTCCATTTTCGTTTTCTCCCAGGATTTCAAGAATTTTAGTTTGAATGGTTCGTATTTCGAAAATTCAAATGTTTTCGAAATTTCTAGAAACTTTTCTAGCAAATGTCACTACCATAAGAGTCCGTTTCAAATTTTTTTCGGTTAAATGGAAAACGCCCAAACTTTTTAATTTGATGGTCTTTGATAGACCTAATGAAAGCCTTGTTTACCTTGAGATAAAGCATTGCGTCAATTTACACCAGGAACGAGGTAAATACAGTTCATGCATGAACAATTTTTATGTACATCGAGGATTAAAGGATTAAATCTTCTTATAATTGCTATTTCAGCTTGCAGCAAAAACTTACTCAACATGTCAGGGTATTTCTCCTCTCCATCATTTCCTGGAAATTATCTTGATGACATGTCCTGCACGTGGCACATCACCGTCCCATCGGGTCACACCATTCACCTGGAGTTTCAAGAATTCCGTCTCAAGGATCACCCCAGGTGCAAAGACTGTTTTGTTCAGATTTTCGATGGGCAGGATTTGAAATCACCTGCACTAGGCAGATTCTGCGGCTATATGTATCCTCCTCTTTTGGTCTCATCATCAAATCATTTCACGATTGATCTTTCTTGTCTTGGAGATGTACACAAAGCAAGGTTCAAGGCCTTTTATCACTCTGTTAGTGGTATGTGAAGTTTTGTGCGTTTAGCTTGTGTTTCTATTATCTTTGCACGTCTGAATAGGCCAAGGAAAAACCGACAATTGGTTACATTGAAGACATCAAAAACTAGCATAATAATTGGGAATCCCCAAATTGGAAGCCGTTACATATCTCAAACGGTGCCTCAAAAGGAGTTCGTTCCAGTAAGGAAACTAAGAGCTTTGGAGCAACTTAAAAGTTTTATACTGCACTGTAAATATTTGGCAGGTAATGTGCTTAGAAGAAAGTTCGTTTCAAAAACATTATTGAAAATATGCTTCATAAGGCAAACTAATTCATAACCCCACCGTGTACAAGGAGAGCATGGGGGGGTTGGATAGAATACCCCCTCCCGTTGGGTTTTCGCTCTGTTAAGGCGTAGCGAAATAGGTCTACCTTGAATTGATTATATAGCCCTAGATTGCTCTACAAAATTGCCATCTTGGATTTTACTATTTTCTCAAAAAGGCAAGAAATAACAGAAATTAGTACAAAATCAAGCTAGAATGCTTATGAAATGTGCGAATTAGTGAATTTAATTAATTTGATGAGGACAACTGAAACTATGTTAAAAAAGTTGATGCCTAGGTTGGATATTTGACGATGAGGACGAAAATGGCGGTGTTATTCATCGATACATTCTTTTAATTTTTTTCAGCCCTTGATTATACAGATTCATCTTGTCTACGTCAACAAGGTACACAATGACGTCATCTCAGGATAAGCATTACAATTTCCCAGCTTTGACCTTGGAGTTGTAGGAAGTTAACAGTACATTACTTTTGGGGATCTATAATTAAAGACGTTTCAATTTTCATTTGTTCCCTAGGCGTTTGGCAATTGAGACGATCTTGCTTGTTTCACTCAACGAATAAAGCTTTTTCTACAGTCTCCAATTTGCCACTGTTTTTCTAACGTTATCTGGGTGCTAATCGAGGTTGTGTTCTTATTACTAGACTCTGATAAGGGAATTTGTTTTCAGGATGTCCCTCAAGCTGCGAATGCAAAGAGTTTGGCGAAGGTCAGCACGAGAAGATCTTGGTCACTGGAGAGGAGTTGCTTTCGGTGCCAAGAAATCTTCCTTTCAACACTGGAGCAGTGTATGTAAAGAGCACCATAATGATTTTTTATCTCTAAGTTTTGATTAGTTTAATTTTCTTTTATGCCTGTAGATAATGCCTTGGTTAATTTTAGTTCAGTTCTTGTTTCAAAAAGTTATGCAATTGTTATTCTTAGGTGATAGTCAGTGTCATTTTCTCATGTTCATCAGGAATTTCCAGCAAAACCGGATCTCCCAACTACGAGAGATGGATTTTGCAGACCTCCCAAAATTGGAATACATGTGAGTTCAAGTAGAACTTTAACTTTGCTAAATAATACAAAAGAGAACTAACTGTGCTCTTTCACATAGCCTCTTCAAGCTGTTCAGTTAGTTGGAGGGCAGCACGGAAGGCAATATAGGAGAGAGAGGCTTAGTGCGAGGAGGAACAAACTTTCTGCGTTTTCCTGCGTCGCGCTTGTCCCCTATTTTTTTGTTCGCCATTTCTCACGCTGCGCCCCAATTAACTGAACACCTGCAACAGCGTACGCGTCACGTGAATCTGTAAATGGGATTAGGATCATTCCCAGATAATCATACAAACGATACCTAGTTTGAGAACACTTTTGTAGCTACTAATTGGGATTGAATATGTGTGGTTTGGCTGTACTCCTTTTTGGTTCTTGTTGTGCTTTTGAAGAAACAAACATGTCACAGCTGACATGCTCGTTAGGCTGCACTCGAACAAAAACCAAGTTCTTGTCGATTAGGCTAATAAGCTTCTTGTTTTGTTGTTTGTTGTTTGGTTTTTCCTTCAGCGACATGAGTTTCAATGTTCTCATTCACCTCGAGGAAGAGACTTTTCATAATGTGACGTCTGTCACGACTCTGTAAGTATGCAACTAGTAGGTTTAAAAAAAGTATTACTAGGATATCTTAATACTGACAACAAATGTAACAACGACAACATCAAGTGTGGAGAAATTAGGCTTTGGGTTTCATATAACTATCTATCATTTTGTTCTGTTATTTGAATACTTTAGCTCAGTTCACGAGTCAGGAAGTTTTTATCAATTAATATCAATCATAGTTCTCCGCATTCGAATTAACGTTAATGTCCTACAAGACTCATTAAGTCGCCTTCATATATCAAGACATTGAAGTGTTATATTTCGAAAATGCCGTTGTTGTAAATCTATCTCTTAAGGTCATTCCACCGAAATAGAACCTGCACTGAGATTTTTGTGAAACTTTGCCTATTGATTGTTTATATTGTAGGAACTTAAATTTTGAAATA